AATGACGTCTATTTAAATAAAGTCATTATCCTGTTTAAAACAAGTGAAAGTAAAGTACATCCCCATGTTCATGCACAACAGCAGAGAATATGAAAATGAAAATTGAGCCTGTGAACTGAACAAAAGAATGTGATTGTGAACTGACACTCTAGAAGGATCTCATGTCCTTTTTGCAGAAAAGACATGTGCAGGCTCTTATTACACAGGTATGAGGTGTCCTATGTGCCAGGCACAGCCCTCACTTGACTGCTGGTGGAGCTTATGCTGAAACTAAAGTGAAAGATGCCTCGATGTGCAAGCATTCAATGGAGTGCTGTGTGCTAAACAGCAACATCCTAGAGGATGGGTCTTGTTTCTAAAACTGGCCAAGCCAGCTCCAAACTAGTTCCTGCCAAAACGCCTGCATGTTCACTGTGAGTTTTCTGGATCTACATCTATATTTCTTCTCTCTCATTTATCTAGGAGGATGAGAGAAATCTTTCTATACTTTCCCTAAGCTTAAATTATTTATTCAAATGTTTTCAAATTTGGCATCATCCCAAAGCATATTTTTTTTTGCCAACAATCTTCTATTTCTGCCCCCCTCCCTCCAAGTCCCATGTGTATTTTAAGCAAATCCTCACCCATATGGTTCTCATTCCTGGGCTCTTAATTCATCTATATGCTGTTCTATTTATTATTCAATTATTCAATATCTTTTTCTTTAAGTTTCTATTAAGGTTTGTATGCTTATTTGGGAATGGGGTTTTATACTAAGGCCTGTACACCCTTGTTTGTTTCCAAAAAGGAAACCTTACTTAGACGTGGTGGAAAATGTGATGTATTAATGTGTTTGAACATCTCTCCATTTACAATTGACTCACGATACTAAGGTCAACAGGACAGGTGATATGCAGCATCTCATTAGGTCCTCCCAGAGAGCTGTGAAAAAGGTCACTGCCCTCACTCTCAGGTGGACCCACAGAACAGAGCTTACCTGGGGCATGAGGCCATTCACAGGTGGATTCACGATTTAGACTACTCTGCCTCCCAAACCTGCAGGCTGCCCTTTTACCCCACTACCTGGTACCACATCTAATTTAGAAGTAAGGCAAGCATTTTTAAATGTAAGTTTGTTTATAGTCCAAATAAAATGTGCTACATTTTCTCTTTGAGAAGATTCCAGGAAAAATCTTTGCTCCTTTATGGAAACCTCCATTTTTCAATACCCTGGTTGGAAAGTCAGTTCCAGCATCTCCTTGGTCCTTTTTCTCAGGAGACTCTCAGGTCCTCAACAAAAGACCACCCATCATCTGATGCCTGGTTCAGTGGCTTCCCTGGTGGCTCAGATGGTAAAGCATCTGCCGGCAATGCAGGAGACCTGGGTTCGATCCCTGGGTTGGGAAGATCCCCTGGAGAAGAAAATGGCAACCCACTCCAGTACTCTTGCCTGGAAAATTTCATGGACAGAGGAGCCTGGTAGGCTACAGCCCATGGGATCGCAAAGAGTCAGACACAACTGAGCAACTTCACTTTCACTTTCAGTGGAATCCTGGAGACCTCCTTGGAGCTGCAGGAAACTAGGCATACAAATTAGGTCCTCACCTTTCCTGCAACTGTTCTGCCACCTGTTAAAAAAACAAAAAACAACCAACCAACCAAACAACAGAAACCTAAAAGCAGGAGTGATATTTACGAGATGCTAAAGTAAGAGGTCTGTAGAGTCATTGTTGTAAAGAAAAGGCATGTTTTAAGCTTTATCCCACACTCTGTGGACAGGTTCTGTGCTGTGTTATCTCAGTGGGTTTATCTGCTAAACAGGCATAATGATACGTGATAAGGATTCCAGTCCCCGATTCCAGTGTGTGGAGGGTATTTCCACACCACCTGGCAAATCTTGGATATGAGCTGGGTGTCTTGACAATGAAGATAGTATCCAACCCCACAGGTTAAGGGCTCCTTCCTACAAGCCTGCCCACCACCCCTCCAATCTCCCCTCAGATGCCAGTTGCAAGTCCAAATAACCACCCACCCTTCCGACCAACTGACTAGAGACGAAGGTTCCAACAGTCCCTCTTCAGGTTCCATTAACTGCTCACAGAACTCAGAGGAACCTTTCACTCACTAGATTAACCACTTATTATAAGAAACAGCCAGGTGGAAATGATGTAGACCGCAAGCTGTGGGGACAGGGTGTGGTGCTTCCAGGCTCTCTGATCCTGCCACTCTCCCCAAGTCTCCCCTCATTCACCAATGCAGAAGCTCCCAAGCCCTCCACTTTGGGGTCTTTATGAAGACTTCATTACATGGGTATAATAAACGAAATCACTGGCCATTGGTCACTGGGTGCATACTCAGACTCCTCTCCCCTTTACAGCGGCCAGGAGGAGGGCATTAAAATACCAGCCCTTCAAACACATGGTTGGTTCTCTAGGCAATCAGCAACCCCCACCCCCACACCCTGCTCTGCCCAGACCTGAGGTGCTTTCCAAACATCCCCTCGTTAACATAACAAAAGACAGCTCTGTCACTCTCTTCACTCAAAGGTTTTCAGAACTCTGTACAGAAACAAAGACTCTGTATTATACATATAATATAAAACCACAATATCACATGTGACTTATTTTCCATGGAAAATGCGAGATCAACTCAGGCACAACAAATGCCAAATGCTTCAATGGCTGATAGAATGAAGCACATGGGAATGGAGTTTCAGATGCTGCCTTGAAATTCTTAGTATCTCTTGGGCTTGTGGTTCTATAATGAGGTGTCCCTGGAAAGTCACCCTAGGGTCCTAAGCTGTATTTTTTTAGAGGGAGAAATATTTTCCCAAAATTTTTAAGGGTGCCCAAGTATACAGCTCTTACACACGGGACGACTTTGCCATAAGGACCTCTATTCCAAAGACTTTCCTATGAAGGCTGAAGGGACTGTCCATTGTACTGATGAAATCCAGGCTCAAGCCAGGAAAGTGACTTACAGTTTCCTGCCATCAACTGGAGAGAGAGATGCACAGTCACAGCACACCATAATGGATGGGTAAGTTCTGGAAAAGATAATGTGACCATAACTGGCTCCCCAGAATTATTTCACATATCATTTGGAAAATAAGAATAATAGTAGTAAATTGCACTTATTGGGTTAAGCCATGTGAAAGTGAAAGTGAAGTCACTCAGTTGTGCGACTTCATGGACTGTAGCCCACCAGGCTTCTCCGTCCATGGGATTCTCTAGGCAAGAATACTGGAGTGGGTTGCCATTTTCTTTAATACTTTGCATTAGGCATCTGAAGAAACCCTCCTGGAGAATTCCAACACAATATGACTTGGGTTGCTCTTGTTCAGTAATTCAGTTGTGTCTTGACTCTGCAACCCCATGGACTGCAGCGCATCAGGCTTCGCTATCGTTCATCATCTTCCGGAGCTTGCTCAAACTCATGTCCATTGAGCGGGTGATGCCATCCAACCATCTTGTCCTCTGTTGTCCCCTTCTCTTCCTGCCCTCAATCTTTCCTGGCATCAGGGTCTACACCCTTGGGTAGACCAGCTTTACTGATGGGAATGTGGGGCTTTGGTGGTAAAGGGAGTGTTCCTGCTCCCAGAGCCAGTGGGAAACCAAGGTGAGACTCAAACTGGAGTCCTTGCTGATTCCAGCATCCTGGTATTTGACGACTATGCCTCCAGCTCCTCAGGCATGAGAACTGGAGTTGGGGGTGGAGATATCATGCTATAGTCAGGAGCCAGGGAGATGCCTGCAGTGCTTAAGTTACTGCCGCGGCTGAATATTCCAATTACCCACTTGCTATATTTCAAACATGAAGATGATTTGTGTAGGTTGGTTTACATAGGAATGACATTCAATAAAGGAAATATATTCCTTGATCTTTGATTCGCTTAACAAGCAGCTTTCAACTTTCAGTTTTATTAATTGCTCTGAAAACCTACAATTTAGGTAAAACTAATTATATTTGATTTTACTCATTTGGTTAGTTCTCTTTTAATATAAGTTGGACTGAACACAATCACTCTCCTCTGTCTGTGTCATGTATGAAATGACAATAGGAAATGCCAGGCGACATCTCGCCACGCCTTCAAAACTAGACCTAACTTGATTTCTAATGAAGGGTTTGCTCTTGCAAGAAATTGCCTTGACAAGTCTTTTCTTTCTGAAATTGTTTTTTTTTTTTTTCTTGTTTCTTTCTGAAAACCAAATTTTTAGCCTTCTGGTACCTTTTGTATCTTCTAGGACAAGGAATGACCAATGTTATTCTTATTACAGGTGCATGCTCTGGAATCTACACTTTGATCATGAGGTATTTGTCACACCAGGGGGTGGGAGTGGGAAGAAGGACTTAATGGTAAGGGGCGGGTCTATGTTCAAAACAAGAGCTCACTATGAGCTGTCACGATGGGCCTGAGATTTTGAAGACAACGACAACTGACAAAAGTAGTACTGAACATCCTAACCTCTGTTAGAAGTGCAGATCAGAAATCCTAAATCCAAGAGTGCGGCCAAGACCTAAGACATAAATAAGAAACCAGGTCTTGGATGGGGAGTAGGAGATCAGACACAAGGGGCTCCATGTATCACCCCCTCATGCCCATCAAATGATCTCACACACCCTGATGGAAACAGAAGATGTTTCCCCAAGCCACACCTGTTTAGGAGCAAAACAAAGTCATATTTCACAGGAGAAAAGAGTTTAGAGTTACCCATCATCCTAAAAAATGGTGAGAACCCAGCCTTACTCAAAGTCATATTACAGGAAGTTTTGGGAAACACGACACAAGGAAACAACGAATCTTAACTATCATTATCATCAACCCCATGACACCTCCTTTTGGGCTCTCTCTGCTTGATGGGGTGTGCAAGCTTTGGCAAGCTGGCTCATCTCTCCCAGACTTACCTACTCTTTATTTAAATGGTAACAAACATCTCTCATGCAAGTCAGATGGATAGGTTTAAAGACAAGGTGTCTGAAGACCCTGACACATGGCAAATGCACATATCTGGATAGATTTCTTTCACTCCCTTTGTTGACCTTTATTCCAAAAAGTAGTTTACAATTCACCAAAAGCAAAAAGAAGGGCACCCATCCTTTCTGTGCTGACCTCCTTCATCACACAACATTTAGGTTATTGCTGCTTGTACTTGAACCCCTTTAGCTTCTCAGAGACTCCACCAATGGCAGGGAACAAAAAATTGCAAGTAGGCCAGCCTCCATGGGATGGGCTTGCTCTGCCATCCCCGTATCTGAGTACCAGAGAAGCATCCTTAAAAGAGATGCAACCCAAATCAGTTACACAAACCCAAGGTGATTTAATCTCATGTTGGCAGAACTTTCTGTCTTCTTTCTCTGCTAGCTACACACACATTCCTTCCTTCCAATAATGTGACAACTGATGGCATTCCTTCCTTCCTTGCAGCAATGTTACGAAGCCCCACGTGGCTCAGAGTCTCTGCATCTGAGACTCGCAGCAGCTGCCTCTGCAGATTCACGTGCATGTGGCCAGCCTGCATAGCGAGAGGCACCAGAGGAGTGGAGGAAGCTTGTCACCTTTGATTACCCACCCTATCCCAGTGCTAAAGAAACAAGATGTGAGGAACGGCCAAGTAGCGCATTTGTTCCAGCCTGGAGAGTGGCTGCAACCTGAGCCCTTCGCTGCTCGCGGTCCCTGGACAGTCCTGAGAGGCACTTTCAGTGGAATGGCATTCCCCGTCAGTGATCAAAGTGGACACACGGACAACTCAGACTCCACAGGAAAATGATCCCTTATGAAGAAGGAACAGATAGCAGACCAAGTTATCTGCATGGAATTTGCATTTGGCAACTCATTGCAGTTAGAACGTTAGTCTGGGGGACTGGAAACCTGGCTTCTAAGCTGGGCTTTGTCCCCAGCTGTGTGTCTTCGGTTGCTCTGTCTGTCCAAGAAGAAGTTAGAGAGAGTGGCACGGAAGTGCCCTTTCAGGTCTGAAATGCCCAACATCGCAGAGTCGCCAAGATCTAAGGCTTGGATTCATGCAGCTGTGGTTTAATCTCAGCTCCACCATTTACCTGCAAGTCACCAAAACTCTTTTAACTTTATAAGCAAAATGGGGATAAAAAAGGGTCTAGTACATGAGATTATTGTAAGGATTAAATATAACATAATCATAGTATTTAGCTCAGTGGTTGGCCTGTAGAAAGAACATAACAAATTTTAAAACTGTACTTAAATGATTGTGGAAAGGATCTGTTTAAGTGTTGATCTCTTTTGATACGTAAATTAAAAAGTAGCTGTAAAAATCGATTGAGTGGAGACACTGAACATGGTGGGGAAGACATCAGGATGCCCATTTCTGCAAATACACTGAAATACAGTTCCAGAAAAGGTACAGAGATGAATGAATATGCAGATAAAACAAACAAGCAGGAACCATGGACAACAGGCACAATTGCACACACCTCACATGCCAGCAAAGTAAGGCTCAAAATTCTCCAAGTAAGGCTTCAACAGTACATGAACCAAGAACTTCCAGATGTTCAAGTTGGATTTAGAAAAGTCAGAGGAACCAGGAATCAAGTTACCAACATCCCTTGGATCATCAAAAATGCAAGAGTTCTGCTTTATCTGCTTTATCTACTCCTGCTTTATCGACTACACCAAAGGCTTTGACTGTGTGGATCACAGCAAACTGCAGAAAATTATTAAAGAGATGGGAATACCAGATCACCTTACCTGCCCCCTGAGCAACCTGTATGCAGGTCAAGAAGCAACAGTTAGAACCAGACATGGAACCACAGACTGGTTCCAAGTCGGGAAAGGAGTACATCAAGACTGCATATTGTCACCCTGATTATTTAACTTATATGCAGAGTACATCATGCAAAATGCTGGGCTGGAGGATGCACAAGCTGGAATTGCAAGGAAAATACCAATAACCTCAGATATGCAGATTACACCACCCTTATGGCAAAAAGTGAAGAACTAAAGAGCCTCTTGATGAAAGTGAAAGAGGAGAGTGAAAAAGTTGGCTTAAAACTCAACATTCAGGAAACTAAAATCATGGCAACCAGTCCCATCACTTCAAAGCAAATAGATGGGGAAACAATGGAAACAGTGAGAGACTTTACTTTGGGGGGCTCCAAAATCATTGCTGATGGAGACTGCAGCCATGAAATTAAAGGACACTTGCTCCTTTGAAGAAAAGTTATGACCAACCTAGACAGCATATTAAAAACCAGAGACATTACTTTGCTGACAAAGGTCCGTCTAGTCAAAGCTATGGTTTTCCCAGTAGTCATATATGGATGTGAGAGTTGGACCATAAAGAAGGTTGAGCACTGAAGAATTGATGCTTTTGAACTGTGGTGTTGGAGAAGACTCTTGAGAGTCCGTTGGACTGCAAGGAGATCCAACCAGTCCATCCTAAAGCGAATTAGTCCTGAATACTCATTGGAAGGACTGATGCTGAAGCTGAAGCTCCAATACTTTGGCCACCTGATGTGAAGAGCTGAATCACTGGAAAAGACCCTGATGCTAGGAAAGATTGAAGGAGGGAGGAGAAGGGAACCACAGAGGATGAGATGACTGGATGGCATCACAGACTTGATGGACATGAGTTTGAGCAAGCTCCGGGTGTTGGTGATGGACAGGGAAGCCTGGCATGCTGCAGCCCATGGGGTCGCAAAGAGTCAGACATGACTGAGCTACTGAACTGAACTGAACTGAACTGATGGACAACAGGGCCTTCCCTGGCAGCTTAGCAGTAAAGAACCCACCTGTCAATGCAGGAGACCAGGTTCAATCCCTGCATCAGGAAGATCCCCTGGAGGAGGGCATGGCATCCCACTGCACTATTCTTGCCTGAGAAATCCTATGGACAGAAGTCTGGCAGGTTATGGTGTACAGGGTCACAAAAGAGTCGGATGGACATGACTGAGTAACTAAACCACCACCACATGAACAACAGAGGTCCCTGAAAGGCCATTTGGACCCTGACTGCTCAAGGGTCCCTCAGCTTCCATGAAGGTTCCCTGATTCTCTCCTCCTTTTCAGCATTCTCCAAGGCAGCAGGCTGCTCCAATCATGTCTGAAGCTCATAGAAAACCCCATTTACAGTCAACCTGCATAGAAAAGGCAAAGGAAAGAGTCAATGCAATTAACCCAGAGTGAAATCCTGCTTCGAAAAAAAAAATCCTCCCACTCTATTCTTGGATTTATAGCTCAAGGTTTTCACTGGAATGGCTCTTGTAAATTAATTGCAGACACAATTGTCTACGGGCATTCTCCGAAGAAGTGGCAAGCAGTTAATTGCACCCCGAATTAGCCAATTCTGCCCATAATTAACCATTTGAAGACAATTAATTGCATGCATAATATTTGCACCTGCAACTAATTGGAGACCCTTATATTGTTCCTGGAAGAAATAAATAAATAAGTAACAACAACAACAACCACCAAAGAACAAGGGGCCACTCTCAAAATGGAGTCGTTTACAGACAAAGCTTCCTGGAGCCCAGGAAACACTCTCTGTATCACAGCTGCATTGGTGGAAAAGCAATTTTAAACCGTCCAGGACCACTGAGGTTTGCAGGACATTATTTGATGCTTTTTTTACCTCTTTTTTTTTTCTCTTCCTATTGTTAATGAGAACGAGCAGTACTTAAACTTAATTTCTTCAATTATGCAAGCAAAATATATAAGACTACCCAGGTTTGGAAAAATTAAAACACCCCATCCGGTATCAAAATAATGATGTTGTTTTAAAACAAAGACTGAATTCTCTTACCTTTGCTCCTGCTCTTGTTTCACTTATGGGGTGTGTGCGTGTGTTCAGTCACATCTGTCATGTCCAATTCTTTGCAACCCCATGGTCTGTAGCCGGCCAGACTCCTCCGTCTGTAGGATTCTCCAGGTAAGAATACTGGAGTGGGTTGTCATTTCCTCCTCCAGGGGATCTTCTTGACCCAGGGATTGAACCCATGTCTCCTGAATTTCAGGCAGATTCTTTACCCACTGAGCCACCTGGGAAGCCCTGTTTCACCCATATGCTGACTAAACATGCTTTTAGAAAGAGGAAAGAAATAAATGTTCCCCCACACCTTGAGGGCCTGAGAAGAACACATATGCATCATGTTATACTTCTGCTGGCGAGTGGGGTCTCTGGATGAGCACAATCTGTTTTCACTCTTTAAGAAAACAAGTTGCTGTGATTAATAATAACAAGGACAATACTAACAACCATCACAACAATAACTGCAGTCACCATGTAGTAAATACTTTGGCCAATCCTTCACCTAACCTCACCTAAATTGTTATCACAATTCAAAAAAGATATTTTGTGCCCATTTTGTGGATGAGAAAATTGTTCATTGGAGCTGCCTAATTTTCCTAATTACAGAGGCATCAGTAAATTTGTGTAATTCAATTGACAGCAAGTGCTCAGCACAGCTCCTGAAATACAGTCAACACTCAACTAAGGTCAGCAAAATGTCTGTAGCCCTGGTAATTACTAAGTTTACTCTCTTTTCATGGATATGTTGAGGATGGAATTGTAAACCTAAAAGGCGATACTGTCCTAAGTGCATCATATGAAATAAATTGATGCAAATTCAGTAACAAAGGCAAGAGAATAATACCATTGTCATCCTCATTTTACAGATGCTTAAACTGAGGCAGGGAAATGTTAAATAACCTGCTCAAGAATATACAACTGGTGAGGAGATGAGAGGAGGGATTCAAATACTGACATTCTGACTCTAGTTTAGCTACTACACAATTTTGCCTCTTATAACCTGGACAGATGGATTTGTCTGTAAAATTGTGTGTGTGTGTGTAAATCTGGATGTGCTGGAGCTGTCAAAAATCAATACATATTTCGAACTTCCCTGGCAGTCCAGTGGTTAAGACTCCAAGATTTCGCTGCAGAGGGCACCAGTTTAATCCCTGGTCAGGGAACTAAGATCCCACATGCCACATGGCACAGCAAAAGAAAAAAAATTAGAAAGCATATAAAAATTGGCCTAGATGCTAAATGTTCACTTTCTCAAATGACAGCAGAACCACTGTCCCTGGTTTACGAAGAACACGGGGAGAATATTCTCGTTCCTGCCCACTTCCAAAGCCCACTAGCTGAAGGTCAGTCCCATCCTGCAAGGGCATGACCTCCATGACTAAGAGGCATATGAAGAGTCCTGGAGAGGAGGAGCTGGGAAGAGCAAGCAGGAGGAAGATGCAGAGCTAAGTGTGGGGACCAGACCTCAGCAGACGGGAGGCAGAGAGCAGGGGCTGGGGCGGGTTGTCCCGGAGCACAGGATGGGTGGAGGCAACTGGAGAAATGGAGGTGCTGTGCGGGGCAGAAGAGCCACCCCGAGTCTAGGTCTTCTTAGGACCCTGGGGGTCTCACTGAACCTTGAATGCGGCTGAACAGCCTTCCTGCAGGAGCCTTCTTTGTGAGGCTGGAACTACACCGTGATACAAGCTTCAAATCCTAACGGTTGGTCTTCTCTCTTCTCTGTAAGAGAGCTTAGGAGAGCCCACTAAATATTTGATGAAGGATAAAGAGAACAGTGTTCAGGCAAAAGGAGCAGACGGAGCAGGACTCCCGGTGGCCCCAAGGTCAGTACATCAGCAAGAATCAGCACCAGAGCTGACACCCAACCCAGGCAGTCAGGGAAAGCAAGAAATACCAACTCAGAGGGTGTATAAGCTGTATCATGTGACAATGATAAGCTTTCAGGACATCAGAAAATGTATGCTCATTTTCCCCTTATTAAAAAAAAAAATCTGAAACACACACAGGGTCAACTTTATACTAATAAAAGTTTTGAACTGGGCAAACAAGGATTAGGTAGGATCCTTGCCACAGGTCTAGATCTCCTTATCATCTGTTGGACAGGAACTCATTCATCAAAATATCGAGAGGAAGGTTTTATCATCAGACACAAATCCAAATGACTCTTCTTTAACACTATTTTTTCAGCTTGTGCTCAAAATGAGAGCGTGTTGTCAACGTCCCGGTGAATCACGGTCCTGCAGCTGTGTGTGCACATCTACACCTGCACACACTTACCTTCCTCCATTTCCCAGCATGGTGTTGTTCAGTCGTGTCTGACTCTTTGTGACCTCATGGCCTGCAGCACGCCAGGCTTCCCTGTCCTTCACCGTCTTCCAGAGTTTGCTCAAACTCATGATAGTTCCTGATCAACAGAAAGAAGCATTAGTTTTGTAGGTGCTCTTACAACAGCTGTTTCCTCCTAGTAAAGAAATCCTTCTTTTCTCCTTTTCATTCATTTGCTTCATTATCCATCCTTTGTTGCTGTTCAGTCCCTCAGTCATGTCTGACTCTTTGTGACCCATGGACTGGAGCACGCCAGGCTTCCCTGTCCATCCTAGTGTGTGTGTGTGTGTGTGTGTGTGTTTTCCACAGCTGAATGTGAAGTGTATGAGTCCATATTCTACTTCCCTTTCCTTTTGGACATATGAGTAAAGCTTGTATTGTACAACCTGATATTCACCAGGACCATTCGGAAACTGATAAAAGCCACTTTGTTATATAATATGCAAGACCTTTGGGGTCTTACAAGAGGGGACACCCAGTTTACTGTGTTGATGCTTCTTATTTACCCATTTCAGTTGAGAGACAGATCCATTTTGCCTTATGGAATTACCCTCTCACAGAAGGGGGTTTACAATCCAGTGTGGAGGGAGGCAGCAATGAATGTGTGTAATAATATGAGTTCAAAAAAATCCCTGTGGATGAGGAAATGGCAGATAATGGGTGACTGCAGTTCTGGCATCTAGACATCTATGAAAACATCCCCAAATGCATATAACATATAACAACCACATGTAACTAGAGCTACTTACCAGGCTTGATGGGATGGGTCTCTTGATCAACATAAGACAGTGTGAAGATAGAAGTTATTAAATAACTGTAGTCACCCATTATCTGCGGTTTCCTCATCCACAGGGATTTTTTTTGAACTCATATTATTACACACATTAGTTGCTGCCTCCCCACCCCCCACTGGACTGTAACCTCCCTCTGTCTCCAGAACAAGGTCAGCAGGTAATTCACGTGGGGTGGGGGCGCCGGGGGCATCCGTCATGGACTGACCTCTGCGGCAGCTGTTTCCTGTCTGACTCCCCCTCCCTCTCACCCACCAGAACGTGAATCTAAAGCTTCCTTAATAAAGCTGGCAAGCGCCCCTGCTACATGTAGGCTCTATGAAAGGAGACCAACAGCCTGCCGTCTTCTCTCTCCCCAAGTAGACGCAGTTCCCCCGGGGGAGGGTTTTCTGAGAGGAGGACAGAGCTGGGGGTGGAGAAACAGAGAGAGAATGGAGAGAGAAGAAAAAATCAAGACTTCGTTCTGATCAGGCTCCCAGAGCATCTTTGCTTCCATATTGATGCTCCTGTTGGTCGCTACTCTCTTGGGAACCCCCAGGGTACCACCGGGGTACCACCCTCTCGGCAACGCCCACCCCCATCCCTCCCCCTCCCCAACGGAGGCACACATCCCGGCTTCCAGGCGCCTGGAGGGCCCAGTGAGCAGGAGCTCACCCACGCAGAATTCAGACGGACGCGCGTTCTCCGACAGGCCGAGCCCGGGTGGCATGGGGACGCTTGCCTTTGCAAATAACGCGAACATTTCCGCAGTTTCCGTGCAGTGAGCCCGGAAGATCCAGCATCTCATCTGGAACCCCCGCGCCTCCGCTTTGGAGCGCCAGTTGCTGCAAAGCCTTTTCTCACGTTATTTGCAAGATGCTCACCTTCTTCAGTCTTCAAACACGACCTAATTGCCGCCTGCCAGGCAGGGGCGAGGTGTAAAGTGCGGTCCTATTCCATGGGGCCGGGGGGATCCAAGCAGGTGGAAACATGGGGATAGAAGGAGCGGGAGAATAAAAAATTAGCTTCTTGTTCATTAACCAGTGTGCCCAAGCCCACCATGCATGCGTTAAACAAACAACAACAGCAACAATCCACCCCCCCCCCCCCCCAAAATCAGTTGCTTTAAAAAATGGACAAGAACAAAAGCTCACAAAACCAGGAGCTACAGGCAGATGGATTCACCCGGGCGGGAGTGGGGTGGGGGCTGAGGGTGGGGCACATCCTGATCTCAGAGTCGTCAGCCCTCCTTCCCCAGCCTGGCGGCCACTTCGCTCCATCTTCAAGGCTTCCACCAAGGCTGGTCTTTGAAGTGAGTCAGACGCTGAGGGTCTGGTTTCATCAAAACCACACTGTTCCTTGACCATGGTTCCTGGCAGCTCGGGCTTAGAGATGAAATATTAATGAAAAAGGGAGGAGACAGAGAAAGAAAACCACTGAGTGGGTTTAATACTTTGTTCTGGGATCGTCTCTGGGAGGGAAGACAGAAGAAACGTCTGAGCAGGCCTGCGGAGTCCATTTTGCCTAAGAAAAAAGCTAGAGTTGAAAGCCCAGGTCTGGGCATTTTCTGACTTTGGTGAGATAGGTTATAATTAGTGGCCGGTTACACAAGTGCATTAAAAATACCCAGGAAGAGATCTTGAGACTAAGCAAAAATTTCTTAGAAATACCAGCAAAAGTTCAATCTATAAAAGAAAAAAAATTGACAAATTGAACTTTGTTAAAATTAAGTGCTGCTCTTTGAAAGACACTGTGATGAAAATGAAAAGACCAGTCACAGATCATTGACTGAAAATACTTGTAAATAATGTGTCTGATAAAGAACTTGGGTATGAAATATATAAGGAATTATCACAACTCAATTATAAGGGGAATGACAGTTAATGAGTACTGGGTTTCACTTTGTAATGAAATTGTTTGAAATTAGACAGTAGTAATGATTGCACAACTATGGATATATGTATATATTTAGTATATATGTATATAGTTAATTTATACATGCTAAAACTCACTAATTTTGTAGTTTAAATGGGTAAATTGTATGTGAATTATTTCTCAATAAAACTATTCCTTAAAAGCAAAGAAAAAAAAAACCCAGGACAAAAAAAATCAAGCCTATTGGAGAGCCTCTGTATTATATTATTGCCCTTGTGGGATGAGAGCCAGCAGTAAATTCACATCACAGCTTCCAGTGGACGTCCTCACCCTGTGTGGGGTAGAGCAGAATTCTGCCCACATCACCACATGTAGACTTTTGTTCAGCAGCTCCAGCAGGCTGTGGAGAACTGCCTTTGATTTTCACTGGGCGATAGCAGAGAGTCCTGTGACTTAGATAAACCCACAGGGGCATAGGTGGGCATGTGAGAACTTGCCAGAAGAAAGCAGCAGATATTTTACCTTTAGACATAAAGTGGTGCTCTGAAAAAATAATATATATCATTTAAAAATTTCTTTTTTTCAGACTTCTACTGAAAATATGGCTTTTAAATAAATATTACTGGTATAATTGACTACCTGTGAACAAAAATAGTGTATGTTACTACTTTACAATGGAAATTAAAAGTCCTTTACAAGTTGATTGACACAATTGCAGAAAGAAAACATCGAATATCATTGACAAAATAGAATTTGCTTAAGATTTCAAGGTAGAATCCTTTTTTGTTTTGATTTTTTTTTTGCTTTTTTAATTTTTATTTTATATTGACCTTTTAAAATTTTCTAATTGTTTATGACAATTTTAGTCTATCTATATATTGTCTGGGAAATGACTCTGCTTTTATTTTAACAACCAACATGTATTTGGCTAAAACATACATATCCTTAACATGTCTAAAGGATGGGCTAAAATAATTACAAAACAAGTGCAATATTTTATGTAGAGAAAGCTTAACTGAATTCAGTGACTGGCCTGTGCTAGAATCCTGCTCTGGGCATTTTGGGGACCTGAAATTCAGCATTCAATCCCTGGTCCCTCACACCCCATCACCTCCTCTCCTGGTGAAACCATGAGCCAAGCTGCAGCCCAATGGCATGTGGCATTTCCCTTTCCTTTGCCGGAAATCTGCAAGAAACATCTGTTGGTTTTACCAAGAGAGGAGCCTCAGGTAATGAAGATCAGGCACCTAAGCTCTTGTTGTTTTCCAGATGCCTTTGAATTCTACGCACAGGTAAGTGCAAGAACTAGTCACACATGCCTGAGGCTGCTCACCAAGGATGTTCTCTCGTGTCCCGGGAGGTCCTCTGCCTGGCCCACGTCTACCCACCCTCAGACTTGCAGAGATTAAGTGTTTGTCTGAATTAACCTTCGAGGAACTGTTTCTGATTAATTATCATATCCTTCACATGTGGGGGATAGAGTCTTTATTCTTATTTCCTTAAATTTTACACCATGCCATGGACAGGAACTTTGGAAATTTAAAGCACTTGATCATGTTCTTAATGGATTTTTTTTTTAAAGCTATGTTTCAGGTATAGGGACTAGTCAGAGAAAGGTTAGATAATTGAATTTTCCTAAAGCTAGAAATGAAACAAACCCTACAAACATGCGCTCTTATGTCTAAAGGGATCCCCAGGTGGCTCAGATGGGAAAGAATCTGCTCGCAATGTGGGACACCTGGGTTTGATCCCTGGTTTGGGAAGATCCCCTAGTGGAGGGTATGACAGCCCACTCCATTAGTCTTGCCTGAGAATCCCATGGACAGAGAAGCCTGGCAGGTTACAGATCCAAAGGGTTGCAAAGAGTCAGACACGACTGAAGAGACTTACGTTACTCTTGTCTAAAGAGCTTTGGTCTCACATAATGAGGGCTGCTTTGCTAGCAGTGTTCCAGGATAAACAATGGAGCTGACGTTTTAAAAAATTTTTCATGTCATGGTGATTCCAGGGTGACGGTGGAGTAGGTACATTTTGAGCCTGGAACATGGTCTTATACCAGAAAGTAGTAAAGTGCTCAAAACCAAGACAAGGATAAGTCAGGGATACTCTGCAGCCAGGCTGGAGGATATCAAGATAGTTAAACTGTAATAACCTTGAGTCCAGAGTTCATACCAATAATACATAAGAAACTGGGGGCTGAGAGGGGGCTCTTATTTCTAGTAGAACTTCTAAGGCAAGTTAGTAAATGTGAAAAGAATGCAGCAGTTGGAAAATCCATCATTTCTCAAACCTCACAGTAAATACTGATTCATGAAAAAAATCATCCATTTATCCTAAATCAAGAGGGACATTCTGATGAAGAACAGAGCAGTATTTATTTGCATGGTTTATCAGCTGCAAAGTAAAATTATAAACTGCAATGCCAGAGAAATCAGAAAATCTTTTGATGGGGTGATTATGGCCGAGGATAT